GAAGAGAAAAAAGGAAAGGAAAGGAAAGGAAAAGGAAATTATGAAATAATCTGGAAATGGGAAATTTTCGAAGGAGCTTGTAACTGGGGTACCTTGCTTTATATAATAAATGTGTTCCTGAAAAGCTACATGTAAGTCAATTCCTATTTTAAGAACCCTAGGAGAGCTTGCTATTTATAGGAATGCTACAATGAATCCTCTTCTATTCAGCAAATAATCACCCCTCAGTTTATCATCTTTGTAAATCTAGATTTTTACATGTGTATATATGTGCTTAAAATAGTTCCACCTCCATTCTCTATTTAGAAATTGGCTCATAGAATGTAAGAGCTGAGAGGGAACTTAGAACATAGAACATCAAATGTCAGAGCTAGAAAGGGAAGAGTTGTCATTTGGAGGAGGGATTAGACTTTTTCCCCCCTCTGTTTAGAGGGCAGAGCTAGGTGCAATGTGAGGGAGTTGTAGAGCAGATTTAGATCCAGATGAAAGGAAAAATTTCCTAACATTTAGAGCTGTCCAAAAGCAGAACTGGCTGCCTCGAGGGGCACATAAGCAAAGCTGGATGACCACTTTCTAGGGAGGATGTAGAAAGAATTCTTGGTCAGGCAGATGTTGCGCTAGATGAGGTCTCATCTAGCTCTGAGACTATGATTCTGTGAACACAGAACAGCAGAATATGCCAAAGAACCTTAGAAAATAAATTAACATAGCTTGAAGGCATCCTAGAACATAGAATGTCAGAAGTACAAAGGCCCTGGATATAGGATGTAGAATGTCAGAGTGAGAAGGAATCTTAGAAATCTAACTCAAGTCTTTAGTCTAATAGATAAAAGCACTGAGGACTACAATTCACAACATACTGGGAGTTGTTATGGATTAAGACTGACATTTGAGGGAATCAGTAGGAGAACTATACTGAAAGATTGGTCTTGAACTTGTAAAATGGCTTTCACTCTCTCAGGAGGTGACAGGTGTGATGCCCAGAATCCCAAGGGAATTAGCCCAAATATTCTAGTAAGGCATCAAGGTGATGCAGTGGATAGGAACAATGAGCCTGTAATCAGAAAGATCTGAGTTCAAATTCAGCTCAGACACTTAATTGTGATCTGATCCTGGGCAAGTCACTTAACCTCTGGTTGCCTCAGTTTCCTCATCTGTAAAAAGGGGATAATAATAGTATCTACCTCCCAGGGTTTGAAAGGATGAAATAGGATAGGATAATAATTATAAAGCATTTAGCACAGTGCCTGGCATATAATAAGGTCTACATAAATGTTAGTTATTAGTAGTTGTAATGCCTGAGTGGTATAGGAAGCCAGTTTGCATTTACTAGTACTAGCAGGGAACATTAGTTTCATTTAGAACAAGATGTATTTTGCCAGTGACCTGGGAGCATGGGTTTCTGGAATCTCTTATAGAGTCAGATATTTGGACTGTGGCATCTTACAGACCCATCTCTATGAATATTCACTATTGCTTAGTGAGCTTACATCTGACTCCATGCAAATAAACAATAGTATGTCTAACAGATACAACCAAACTGTGTGTCTTGAAATGTGGAACACAAGATATTCTAACAGGCAGCATAAATTAGTGCAGAGAATGATGGAAAGGCAATCCTGAGACCTGGCTTCTAGTGTAAGCTTTGGCACCAAGTAGTTATACAACTTAAGAAGTTATTTTCCTAACCTATAAAATGAGGAAACTGAACTAGATAATTTCTAATGTTCCTTCTAGACATTGAAACAGTAAAAAAAATAAAAATAAGAAAAGCTTTGGACTAGGAGTCAGGGAACCTAGATTCAAGTCTCAACTATTCTACTAACAGTAGCCTTGGCCAATTATTCCTCAGTTCCCTCATTTGTAAAATGAGAGGGTTGTGCATGTTCTGTAATGCTTCTTCCAACTTTCACATTCTATCTATGAATCTAGAAATTTATTTCACTCCGTCTGAACCTCACTTTCTTCATTTGTAAAATAGGGGCAATGACTTTCAATTGTACTTTTTAACAACTACAATTTGAATTAAACTTCAAACTCACAAAGTTATTATAAGGAAAGAATTTTGTAAACCAGACAGTGCCATAGAAATAAAAGCTATAATTCTATGACATAATTTTTAAGTCATTTCCCATTCTAAGATCTGTGATTTTCTAATTTCGGTTCTAGTATCCCCTATGGTGACTTATACATAGAAGGTGCGCAGTAAACACTTACATATTGTTTGACAGCATTCTCTGCTACTCTGCAAAGGCTGGACCTAGAAAGAATTAAGAGACTGGAGATACAGGCCATGTGTGCAAGTTTGAAGCCTGGAGCTATTCAGGGGTCAGGAAGGAAGGGAAAACATTTCAATACATTGTGGCAAGTTTTAGCTGGATCACTGAGAAATTTTGCTGTTAGCTTGCAGAATTAGGCAACGGGGGCCTCGGGAGGCATGAGCAGAGAATTACTGGAAGCTCTCCAGAGCGAGAGCTGGCTGGTGGCTCAGGAGGTTCAAGGTGAAGGAATGCTTAGATCATGGGGTGTCAGAAGGGACCACAGAGATGATCTAGCCCAAACTCAAATAGAAATGGAAACCACTAATCCATACATAAGGATCTCTTGTGAGCTACATATCAACTTAGTTTAAAATGTAATATCTGTATTTTATTGTATTTTTATTTATTTTTAAAAAATATTTCCCAATTACATCTCAACCTGATTCTGGACATAACTGAAAGTGTTGTAGGTCCCATTTAACACTTTTGATCCAACCCCTCTCTTTTTACAGATGAGGAAACTGAGTCCAAGAGAGGGAGAGAGACTTGCCTAGTCATGTGGCTAGTAAGTAGCACAGCCAAGATCTAAATTAGGATCTTAGGACTTCAAGTCCAATGCCATTATTATTGAAGGGGGAGCCTTGATCAGCCATGAGTTTATCTTGGAAGACTGGCTTTGAATGAAAGGCACTATAGCTTCAGGAAGAGTGAGGGAAAAGTACATTTCTGTCTTTAAACATTGCTGGCTCCTTCGAACCAGGCCAGCTCCTTCTTTGGGTTTCTAAGCAAGCTACTGATATAAGTGCCACCAACTTGCTATCTGACTGTGTAGCCAAAGCACTCTGTGCTGCCTGGATCATAAAACATCACAGCTGGAAGAGTCCTTAGAGTTCATCTAGTCCAGAGGTTCTTAACCTGGCGTCTGTGAACCTGTTTAGTTTTTTTAAATATTTTGATAACTGTATTTCAAGATAATTGGCTCCTTTAAAATTCTATGTATTTAATTTTATACATTAAAAAATTATTCAGAGAAGGGAACCATAGAATTCACCAGACTGTCCAAAGGGTCTGTTCCAAAAGAAAAGTCTTAAGAACCCCTGATCTAGCCCAATCCTCTATCTTACAAGTGGGGAAACTGAGGCCCCAAGATGGAAAGTGACTTGCTCAATATCACCCAATAAGTAGCAGAGCTGAGATCTGAATCCAGTTCCAAAGTGAATCCAAATCCAATTTCAAATCTCTATCAGGATGAGGATACGTCAGTTTTCTCCTTTAGAAAATGAAAAGGTTGGGCTAGGTGACCTCAACTAGAGTCTTTTCAACTCTAATATGTTATATCCTATGTTCCAAGTCCCCTTCCAGCTTTCTAACATTCAATGAGCCTATGTTAACAGGTGTCACCCACACCCAAATATTACGTAGTAAATTCTCTCTTTCCTTTTGGATCTCCCAGTGCCTAAAGGAGACAAGCCTGATTTTTAATTTAGACATGGGGAGAGAAAATACAAGTAATCTTCCAAAAGCCTCATTTTCCCTCTGGGTCCTTCAGCCCTGTACTGGGGCCTTTAAAAGGAAGGAGTAGGAAAAAGGGAGAAGAGAGGAGGTAACAGGTGAGGAAGGTAAACCATTGGCTATTCTAGCAAACGACTGCTATTTCTTCCTCCCACCTGCCCTACTTTGTAGTTGGCCTAGGTTTCCTGGTCCCACAAGAATATACATTTTCACACCAACGCCACAAACAAGCAACTTCACTAATTCCCTAGACCCTCCCTCCCCTCCTCCAACACACAGTCAAACTTAAAGTAGCATTAAACTAGGAACCAAGAGACCTGGATTCTAGTGGCTCAGCCACTGGTGTAGTGTGACCTTGGAAATCACTTTTCTCTGGGCCTTAGTTGGATAAGGAAGGGGGCAAACCCCCTTCCCCCAAAATGGTATTGGACTAGATGGATGATTGATAAGGTTCTTGTCAGCTCTAATATATGTGGTTCTCTGAAATTCTTTTTAAAAGTTTGTTCCCCACTTTTGGCCACAGCTCTAGCTCAGTATGTCAGAATATTAAACATTCAGCCCAGGGCAAAACTTGCTGCTTCCCCTCCCCCTCCCTCTCTAGGCTCTGGCCCTTCAGGTCGAAAGAGTTTAGCGTCAGCCCTGTGATTCAGCAAAGAAAACCAAGCTGCCACTTTTCCCTCTCCCCAGTCTCCTTTTGAGTCGGCAGGGGATAGGAATCTCGATTAATTCCCCATTATCCACACGCTCCTTACTGATGCCCCTGTTCCGAGGCTGGAGAAGCAAAGACAGACCGGTCTTGTGATTGGACCACAGGTTAGACAGCCCCGCCCCTTTCCATCCTCCCCACCACTCCACCTTCCCATCCCCCCATTCTCTCTCTGTCTCTATCTCTCCTTCTACCTCTCTCCCCAACAAATCCCCCCAGAATAAGGAAGCTCTGAGGATGAAGGCACCCCCTGCAGAAGAGGGTAACTTCTCTCCCGAGACCAATTCCACACAGCCCCGTGGGTCACCCGCGCTCCTGCCATAATTCTGCTGAGTCATTCAAAGTCCAGCCTCTAGCAAGCTGCTCTGTCCTTGAAAACAGCTGCCTTCAACCACTTCCTTGAGACCTATCTCAAAGTCCCTCAAACCCAAAGGCCTTAAAGGGAGGAGGAGGGAGAAGGCGAGGGAGGAGACTTTCAAGAAAAAAAAATTCAAAAAAGCAAACCACTGCCCCCCCAAGGATCTTTTACTAGACGCAAAAGTTTATTAAAATTGTTCATTATTAATGCTTCAAACGCAGAGATCCCAAAATATACAGATGCCTCTTTCCTTATAGAAATAGATTATTCTTTATAATAAAAAAACGTAGGAACATCTTTAACAGATTACTCAATCCATGACTGACAGTTACACGTGGTTACATCAGTTGTGTACACAGTCGTTCCCAGCCATGTTTAAAGATTGCATCACTCGCTTTCTGTTTGCCTGCCCGCCGCCCCCCTTCTTCGCTCGACTATATCTGTGTATATATATACATATGTTGTATATGTATATATATACATATACATAATTTCTGGTTTTTTAAATAACACTATGCCATAAATTCGCAGAGATCCCCGATCTGAACATTTGGTTGGTGGGAAAAAAAATATATATATATATATAAAATAATAAAATTACCAACAAGAAAGCCAATTCGTCAACCAGACAAGGTGCAGAAGTTTTGCAAACGTCCCGGGAGTTGACGGGAAAAGGAATAAGTGAAGGCTCTGACAAGGGGTTGTTTGGGTGCCGGAGAGTCAAGGCGGAGGGAGGGGTAGGGAGGATTGGGCTACAGCGGAGGTCGGTGGTGCCACCCCCGCCGGGCCCTCACTCAAACAAGAATCTAAAACAACCCCTGGCAACCCGTCTCGAAAACAACCTACCATTCTCCTCTCCCCACACAAACACCCAACAAATCTTCGAGTCTCTGCCCTTTCTCTTCTGCCCTTTCTCTTTGCTGAAAGGTCTGGCCCACCCGGGAGCTGAAGCAAACAGCCCTGAGGCTAGCAGTCTCCAGATGAGGTGGTCAGTGGCTGCCAGATACGATCAACCCCAAGTTCCCCCCGGCCAAGTGTCCTAGAGGGGAGCGGGCCGTATGGGCTAGAGGCCTCCCCACGGCGGCAGTGGCTGGGGCCCCCAGAGGGCCGCCGGGCTAACAGTGTCCAGAGGAGGCCAACAAGGGCTCGGGCAGCTGTTTGAACAAGTTCCTAAGTGTGCTCAGCTCTCGGGACAACTGTTCCACCTTCTTTTGCAGTCGCTCGTTCTCCGCGGTCAGCTCCAGCACTTTGTGCTGCGTTTCTAAGTTGCGCATCTTGGCTTTGTCGCGGCTCTTACGCACGGCGATGTTGTTGCGCTCCCGGCGGATCTTGTACTCGTCGCTGTGCTTGTCCACGCTCTTCTTGGCCTTGCTCTTGGCTGGCAGCGGGGTCGGGCCGCCCGGGTAGCAGCCTCCGGCTTTGCCCTCCGTTGGGTTCGGGGTGCCGGGGGGACTAGAGGAAGACGACGTGGACAGGTTGCCGCTACTGCCGCTCGGCACTGACTGGTAGCCCAGGTAGGAGCGCATGGCATAGGGCGAGCCGGAGGACATGCCCCCGCCCGGCCCCGTCGCCGAGTCCTCTTTTCTTTTGCAAGGTACCGAGTCCGCCACCGGTTCGAAACCGGGTTCGGCCTTGAGCTCGCCTGCCCCCGGCGGCGGCAGTGGCGGCGGCGGCTGAAGGGGCGTAAAACAGCCCGGAGGGTGCAAACCGCCTTTGCCCGCGCCCTGCTGAGCGAGCCGGCCCAAGCTCAGGTAGCTGTAGTCTGGGCCCGGCGGCTTCTTGCAGACGGATCCGCTGCCTTTAGCGTAGTCGTCCGCGAAGAGGTCAGAAAGGAAATCGTGGTGGTGGGGGGGATGAGGAGGGTGCGCGTGGGGGTGGCCGGAGGAGGCGGGAGCGGAGGAGGCGGAGGCGGCGGAGGAGGCGGGAGGAGCCGGCTCGAAGTTCCCCCCCGCTGCTGGGGGAGGCGGCGGCGGCGGCTGCTGAGGCTGCTGGGCGCCCAGCGGGTCCAGGTAGGGGCTGAAGTCTATGGCTCTTTCGTGGTCGCCGATGCTGAGCTCGCTCATAGAACGGCCCCCGGGCCGGGGCGGGTGCAGCTTGAAAGGAGCTAAACAGTCCGCCTCGTAGTAGAAGTTCGCCACTTCCATGGATTTAAAGGCCGGAGGCTGCAAAGGGAGGCATGTTGGGTCCCAGGACACCAGGCGTTGCATGAAAGCAAAGGGGGAGAGAGGAAGGGGAAGGGGGAGGGAGAAAGGGGGGGAGGGAGAAGGGAGCAGACTGGGGCAGGGGGCTTGGCTTGATGATTTTCGCGGCCCCCCTCCGCCCCGGCCGCTGCAATCCTCCGGCACAGAGACGGAGGCTGCTTTCAGGCTTAAGCTGAGCCAGGCGTTCTGGGATCCCCAGAGGCTCTGCTGTCACTGCTGCCGGGGTCCGGAACACGGTGCTGGGGTGGGCTTCTGCGGCGCTCAGCACTGCTGCCGCGGCTGCTGTAACTGCTTTGGCCGCTGCTACCGTGGCTGTGGCTGTGGCTGTGGCTGCTCCGGACCATCTGGTCCCTTCGGGTCCCGTGCGCGGCTGTGACTTGCTAAAGTTTCTCACTCGCCGGTTATTTATAAAGGCGGCCCTTAGCAACGGCACATAGCTGCGTCACTGCTGGCAGCCTGCCCCAAGCCGCGCATGCCGGGCCGCCGCTTCCCCTGCTCCCCCTGCAGCCGCCACCGCCACCAAGAGCTCCCCGCGATCCTAGCGCCACGAACTGGCCTCGCAACCTGAGGAAGGGAACAAAGCCAGAGACGCGCTTTTCGGGGGGTCCTGCGGACTACCCGTGGGGGCGATCGCGTTCGCCCCAGCTCCCACCCCAAGGGAGAGGCTGGGGGAGGTGCGGCCCCGCCCCCTTCTAAAAAACCCACACACACTCTTTCTCTCTCTCACACACACACAAATACACACAAATACACGCCACCACTCCTCAGTCCACTAGATCTAAGCCCCCTATAGATCTTACCTCTATCCCCAGCTGTCCCTCCCGAAGGGGCCGAGAATTTCCGAACCTCCCGCTCCTCCAAGGGTCTTTGCTTGCGACCCTGCCTCCCTTCCACTCCACAAGTTTGCACTCCCTGCCCCGCCCTGCTCCACCCACAACCCCACGCCTGCGGGACGGTGGGCGAGCTGCGGCTCTGGGGCTGAGATCCGGGCCAGTGAAGTCAGTTTCCCACTGCCACGATCCGGCCCTGTCTCCAGAGCTTCTCCATCCCACCCTAGTCAGCTCTGGCTCGGTGCGGTGCTTTGTCCCCACCTCCTGCTGCACCTGCAGCTCGGACCCGTGGTCCCCTCCTTCGAAGCTGTCAGTCCACACACACACACACACACACACACACACACACACACACTCTCGCACCCTTCACCTCTACCTCATCCTAGTTCCTGACTGGAGCCCCCAGGACTCCTCCCAGTCCACCGGGGAGCAGAAAACTTGGCGGGATATTCTTGGGGGTAGATTGAATAGACATCCGTAAGTGCGAGCTTATGTTCAAGTCTGTGTCCATCGAACCCGCCTGGGGCATGAGGGTGCTCTATATGTACCGGCTATCGCCGAGAGAACGATGGTCTCCCATCAGCATAGTAGCCTCAGTGTTAGACTTTGGACTAGGGTCACCTATGCAAGGTGAATAATCTGAGAATGATTGAAGATCTGGATTCGAGTTCTGACCACCACTTAACCAGCAAGTCAGAGGATTTTAAGATTAAGAGCTGGAAAGGACATTGTAGGTCATTTAGCTCAGCTTCCTTATTTTATAGAGAAGGAAATTGAGACTTATGGGGCTTGAACTCAGATATTCTGGCTCCAAACCCAATGATCTTTCCCCTTTACCACAGTAACTTCCAGATTCTCAGTTTCTTCAACTATAAAATGAAAGACTTGTACTAGATACACTAAAGTCCCTTCCAGGTCCAAAGTAATATTATTCCTCCACCTACACATGCTTCCCTTTGCACCTGGCTTGGCCTGCCTACCTGAGGGAAAGTGAACACAGAGAAAAAAAGACTTGTTTCTGAGGCAGATTAACTTGGGAGGTCTCAGTACTTCTGGGGGAGAGAAGAGATCAGAGGCTAGCAAAGGGCATGCTGACTCCCCTAAAGGGAAAGAAGACCCCCATTCTATTTAGCTGACTTTTAGTGCCTTTCCTCTTAAATATGGGGAGTTCAAGAAATTCTTTGACTTACTGCACCCCTGTTTCTTCCAAGCCCTATACAAAGCCCCTCTTGAAAACAGAAATGATACCCATTATCCCCTGGCCTTGTACCCCACAGAATTTCCAGGTAACTAGAAGGAACAGGGCAGCTGTCCTCTCTTTATTCCTCTTCTAACCTGGGACAGGAATGAAAGTCCCCACTGCCCAGAACCTATCCTGGTTCAATGATTTGGGCACAGGAAAAGAGTAGACAGTTACAAAGGAGACTTTGACTCACCACTCTGATTTAATTTCTTTCATCTTAGATTATTCCTCTACTTGAAAAGAAGGCCTTTTCTGGAGGCCCCTGCTAAGTGACCTGCCATGCAGGTTATCGGACAGGCCTGCTTGAGGGAGGCTGGTCTCCCTTGCTACTTAAGAATATGAAGGTAGCATGTTGGATGGGAGGGAGAGAGCATGGGGGCAGGTGAAGAAGAGGAACAACAGATATTGGACTGGAAGTTAGGAGATCCAGGTTCTGGTCTAAACTGTGCAACTAGCACTCACTATATGACCCTGAGTAAGTCACTTTTTTCTGAACTTGTTTTCATATCTACACAATAGGATTTTGGGGACACTTCTAAGATTTCTTCCAGCTCTAATATTATAGGTTCTATAGTTCCTTCTAGCTTTTATGTTTTAAGGGCCCTTCTAGATGACATTCTATGGTTCTACAGCTGGTTTCCTGCCTAGTTCATTTCCCTTGCTGGAATTGTCCGTGAGACACCAGTGAATTCTGGTTAGCTAGAAAAGCTATAACTTCATGATAGCCCTGGCATTGTTCATGTTTTGGACAGCTCCCGCCATTAGCCAAGAACCAGGCTGTCCAATGTGCCTTCTGCCCTCCTTCTCAAACCCTCCCACAAACCCTGACCCCCACACACTACCCAGACATTCACATGCATACTCATACAGGCTTATTTGCTGGTGACCCCTGACCCAACACCCCCAGGCTGTTACCCCTGCAGGGAGTTGCTCAAGCCTGGTTTATCTGCTCATTCAGTGATCTTTGCCCTGTAAGTGCTGGTGGAAAAATGACATCTCAGGAGCCTGGGGACAGATCAGCTGGATGAGCCTGAAAATTTTTCAGGGCCTCTCCACAGCCTTGAGAGAGGTTGGGAGGCCAGAGGGCAGAACCATCCCTGGAGTTCCACAAATGGAACAATTGCACCTGACCCAGGAAAGAGGCTGAAGCTTAAAAAAAAAACAAAACCCTGAAACTGTTATACAAAAAAGTGTCATAGAGAGAGCCCTGGATTGAGCATCAGAAAGCCTGGATTTGAGTCCTTGCTCTGCCACTTACTAGCAGTGTGACATTGGCCAAGTTATTGGTGTGGTCATCTGTAATGTGGAAAAACAATGACGAGCAAGACAGTTTTAAAAGTAAACATGTAGAATTTATGATACACTTTTTTTTAAAAAAAAAAAGCAAGTGGCATGAAATAATGATTCATGGTTCATGTAAAATCTTTTTTGTGTTCTGTATATATATAGAAATGTTCTTTTTTGGTGTTTAAATTCAGAATAAACAATTTTGACTCAAAATGGAATAATATCTGTTGTTTCATTTAATTATGAAGATTTAAATTAAATAATCTCTGCAAAGCACTTTGTAAATCATAAAATCTAATGCCAGTGTTGTTGTGGTGGTTGTTGTTGTTATTGTTAGTATTTTGCCCTGGCACTGGTCACCAGTCAACATGCTTTTCAGAATGTATATTACCCCTTTGTGACATAATCCAAGCATAGTGGATCTTAGACTATAGATTGTCAGAAATGAAAAGGGACATTAGAACATACTATCAGAGTTAAAAGAGAGCTTCTAACATAGAATTTCAGGACCAAAAGAGAAAACTTAGTCCAATCCCTTCATTCCACTTTTTCTTAAATTTTTAAGTTCTTTATTCTAAACTTCATGACTATTAACAAAAATATTCCAATAAAATATAAAATGTTTGTAGACAAAACAATTCAACTCAACATTTATTAAATGTTGGTAGATACTGTGTAAGGTTCTGAGATTAAAAAGATAAAAATGAAGCAGTCTGTACCCTAGAGAAGCTGACATTCTTCTGATACCTGCTGAACTCACAACATTTTGAGGGTCAAATGAGATCATGTATATGGAAGTCGTTTGTAAATTACAAAGTCCAAGTTGTTTACATTGGTTTTTTAAATATGCATATTAATTTAACAAAATAAAAAGTATCCCATTTGCTTCCGTGTTCACTTTCTATCTCTTTTTATTCTGTACATTTTTTGTTTGCCATAATTTTTTTATATGGCGGTTAGATATTTATATATTTCTTACGATTCATTATATATTTCTTATGATTCTGTTCCCTCCACTTTGCATTTTATGCCTTCCCATATTTCTTCACATTCCTAATAATTATCATTTTTATGGTGCAATTACATCTCATTTCATTACATTCATATCCTGCAATTTGTTCATACATTCCCCAATTATTGGACATAGACCAATCCCCCTGATCATAAAGAGAAGGAAACTAGGCCCTAGAAAAGAGAAATGACTTGCCCATGGTCACACATGGTCCTAGAATCCATGTGTCCTGACTCCAAGTTCAAGGCTTTTACTATCTCATACTTTCCTTTCTCTCTCCCTTCAAGGTTGCCCTTGATAACAACAAACATTGATTTGGAAACTACTCTGCCTTGAGAACAGAAAGGTTGAGCTGCACTAAGATTCTGATGATTCAGACAGCTTGTAACCTATTCAGGGAATTTCCTGGGGTCCACTCTCCAAGGGAGGGTCTTTCAGGAAGCCACCCAGGCTCAGCTCCTAAAGGGGATCCAGGATGAGTGACCACTGAACCTCTTCCCTTTTCAAGTCTTGGCCTTGATCCTTCCCTTCCATTGAAGACTGCAAGGAGGCAGGTCGAGTTATGAGACGGCATCTTATAATGGAAGGAGCACTGGACTGAGAGAGAGGATGCCTGAGTTCAAGTCTCTATCACTAATTCAGCTGTGTGACCTTGGGCAAGTCACTTAGGCAGCTAAATGGCATATCCAGCCCTGGAGTCAGAAAGAACTGAGTTCAAACCCAGCCTTGGACACTTACTAGCTGTGTGACCCTGGGCAAGTCATTTAGCAAGTTTCCTCAGCTGTAGAATGGGGATAATAATGTTACCTACCTCTCAGAATTGTAAGAATCAAATTTGTAAACAATGCCTGGCACTTAATAAATGCTTATCCTCACCCCTTGCTTTTCCCTCCCCAAGCTTCAGGTTTCTCGTTGTTAACATGATGGGATTCAACTAAATGGTCTCTAGGACCTGGTTGGCTCCAAAGTTCTATATTCTGAGGTCCCTTAAAGCTCTGGCATTCTGCGGTTATGTAAAAGAGTAGATGACCTCTCTTAGGTTG